TTTTAAGTGGGAGAACTTGCACAATTGGTGGGTGACTAAATACTTTTTTGCCCCACTGTATCAGTAAGGTCTTCTCTGGCACTGCAACATTTAGATCTGAAAAGATCTATGAGAATTAAGGAGAAGAGTAGACTGTAGTTTCATGTGATGAATTGCTCTAACCAATCAGTTTTTTTGGCCCTAGGCCTCTGCTTTTATATATTAATTCAATATTTTTATTAATAAATAATTCCAATAAAAATAAGATTTGTGAGCATTTAGTCCAGTGTCTTCCCCTTCCCCTTTTTCTTTCCAGAAAAGACAGTTGTATTCAACAACATCTCCATATTTAATGACACCTGTATTAAATGGCAGAGAGTCCCAGCAAGAACACAGTCTGAGGAAACGTACCTAGTAAGTTAGGCACAATTGAATGGAAAGTAATGGAAAGGCTTTGAGAAACACTTTTTTCACACTTCTTTTTGATGGTGCTGCAAACATTGCATTGTTGTTGTCTGAAATACGTAGGCAGATCCATTATCTCTTCAGATTCATAGGCTTTGCTGATTTTGATAACCCTTTAGATACCTATTCAGAAGTCAAAGTGGGACTAGTTTATGTAAGAAAAGAATGTCATGTCGTTCTCACTTAACAGTTTTTGTCAGGTAGTATAGAATTACAAGTATTCTTATGCCTGTTCTGAAGAAGGCATTCCCTTTTCTTTTTATAGGTTGTGGTAGACTATGTCAAGATTTGAATAGGCCTGTAAGGGGCCCTTCAGATGCTGCAGAACTACAGTTCCCAGTAGCACCAGCTAGCCTTTATAAACCTAAAGGACAAGGAAATCTGCCTCCTCATGTAGAAGAATGGGAGGTGGGGGTGGGCTGGGCTCATGTATTTCCTTGATCTGGTGAATGATTTGCAGATGCAGCATTTAGCTTGCTTATGTGTGCATACCATGGATTGTGGAGTTGATCTCTCTTTTCTTCCCTTTTCCTCTCTGCCCGGTGGCCCGCTCAAAGTCGGCTTAACTCTTGCCAGAAGTCTGAACAAATCACTGCAAAGAGTTTTGAAATAAGGCTCAGGGCATGGATTATTTATCATCTAGTTCGGCATTTCCTTTTCTGCCACTGTGTACATTTAGCCCAGCCTTCCCCAATCCCGTACCTTCCAGATGTTTTGGAATGATCCATGTTGGCTGGGAATTGTAGTCCCAGCATATCAGAAAGCCACCAGCTTAGGAAAAGCTTCTTGGAGACATATACCATGCATTGTATATCATTTTTTTTCTCTCAAATTATACATTTTTTTGGTACACTTACATTTAGACTGTCCATTAATGTCAGATATGTTTAATTCACAGCATAATTCAAGTGTCAGATATGTTTAATTATGCATTTCTTGTTACAGATTCACCTAGAGGGTCTACGCTGGTATCAGAAGGAATTCAGTCATGAGATGATTTTTAACTTCACCACAGATTCTTGGAATCCAGAATTGTGCCTCAATTTATCTTCAGGCAGCAATTACACAGTAAACATTTCCACTGCTGACATAAATCATAGCATCCTCATCCATTTGAGCATCCCATTAGCAGGTAATGCCTTGATTTACATTTTTTTCTTGTTTTTCTTACCCAAGGTTATTCCTTCAGTATGAGAATGTACAATAACTATAGATACTTCACATTCTTCAGAGCCCTACTCCCTTGTCTGATGAAATAACTTTATATGCAGTCGAATTATCAATATTTCTGCATAAATATGACCTAAAACATGACTTGTTCCCCCTACAAGTCATGACTGTATATAGGAAGCAAGGTAGAAGATCTTTAAAAGTTAATAAAAGTGGAAATAACTGTTGAACCCTCCTTCCTCCAGTGGCTCTTCATCCCTTATTAATGAGCACGCCTGCCACACAGAAAGCAGCCTTGGCACATCTTTTTGTTATTCTCCCAATCTGCAATCATCCACTAGGTGAAGCTCTTTGTCTTCAGCAGATAAATGTTTTTCAACATCTTGAGAGCTATTGTTTTCTTTAAAAGCTTACTATATCAAAATCCTTAAACTTAAAAAAAAATCACTACACTACTATTTTTAACTGTACAGCAGCTTTTCCCGACCTGGAGTTGTCCAGATATGTTGGACTTCCCCTTCCAGAATTCCCAGCCACAATTATAGGAGTTGAATTCGAAAACATCTGGAGGACCTCAGGTTAGGCAAACTGCTATGTGATTCAGGAGGAGTTCAGATTGGTCCAAAGGGGGAACAGAGCATTCCAGAGTTCTACACAATATTCTGTTTCTGAATCAGTGAGTTTTGCTCATCCCTAACATGTATCTGCTAGTGAAAACAATTTAAAATTAAAATAATATTCCCCCCAGGTCATTGGGAAACTCCTCAAGTGCCATCTGGAATCTTGCTGAATCCATCAGGTATACTGAGTCTTTCTAGAGTGTGCTAAGGTTGTGCCTTATCATAAATATATAAAAGAAGTAATGGTGGTCAGTAGTTCATTTGTAGGACAAGGACCAAATATGATAAAATGCATACAGGCAGCATTTTACACATGAAAAATAACTATATAAAACATTACTGATCGCGCTCTCTCTCTCTCTCTCTCTCTCTCTCTCTCTCCTCTCTCTACGTAGTAGTTACGTTTAACGT